GAAGCTGATGGGTTATACTTGGTTGCATGTAGTGACAGGTGAGCAGAACACATCTGTACAGCATTTAGAGATAGTGCATGGCAATGACTGATGGTAGAGTCTGTGTTGCTTATGGTTCTGACCTTCCTGCACCAAGGTGGAGCAAAATGCAAACAAGAAATGTTAATGTGGGTATTGTTATATAAATGAGTTGAAATACTGAATATGCTGCATCTGGGAGAGAAAGTTGGACAGCAAAAGCAGGTGGTTGACTGATATCGGAAGAGAAAAATGGATGTGGTATTGAAAGTTACCTACAGTTATCTGTGATATTGCAAGGACCTGTAGCTAAGGTAATTGGTTATTAGATACACTGTTTGGTGAGACAAATGAGCTACATAGAATGAGTGTGTCTGCCAATATTGATGGAAAGTCTGTTAAATAATGTTGGGGCTTTAAAAGGATAAAGGATAAATTTTAGGTACTTACACAATGACGCTTGATAAAGAACTTTTATATATTGACTCACCCTGCTGTTTAACGGAAGAAAAAATCCAAAATATTTTGTTTCTATCAGACTGGTTTAAGGATAGTATTTGTATCAGGAAGTAAGTCGAGATACATGTTCTTTTATCTCAGGAGATAGCAACTTGGATTTGGCTAGAACTTGCGAGCATGTTGATAGTGTGTAGGTTTTATTTGCCTGTAACTGTTTTAAGATATTTATTATTTCCATGAAGACATGTAGCTATAAAGTTATAATTTTTTTGTAAGGTTTAAAGTTTTCCTTCTTTGTACTGTACTGTGTTATTAACATGTTTCTTATCAACATACAGGGCTATAACTTATATATTTTACATTATTAATATTTCTCTCACAAAAGTTTGAATGGTAAACATCCTTGGAGAAATCCTATTACATAGTACCAAATGTATTAATTGAATTTGAATCTTCTATTAGGTACAACAGTATTTTTTTACATGCAGGAATATTATTAATGAAGTGTAAGTTGCGTGGATCCTGTAGGTCTGTCCAGCTTGATTATCCTTTAAAGATAATTCTTTTGTGCTTCATGCTCAGGGAGCAACACTGTTAGTGCTCGTGTGTTCCTCCAGGAACTGGAACAGGAGTTGGATGCAGTTAAAGGTGTGGGTTTCCTTCCTTCCTTTAAGTCATTATTTTATGGCTTTTGAAGTACAGTAATGGCCATTCCTGTATATAGAGCTATTGAACTATGTACTGTACTCTACTATACATACAGAATATGCCTTATTCTTTTGTTTGAAAAGTCTCTACTGGCTTGCCTTGGTGATCGGCTATTTACTTTCTGCGTACAGTTAGGCATCTTGAAGGTAGTCATTACAGTTGTATATAGGATATTTTATATTTAGAGTATAGTATCTTGGTTACTTTAGTGTGTATGTGTGAGTTGTGTGATGATGTGTATGAATAATGTGATGATTTTATTAGGTACAATAGCAGGGTACGAGTGGTGTTCTGTTTTCATAAAGATGAAAGTTATGCTGTAAGTCAACATAATCGTATAGGCAAATGTATTCAGAAGAAGTGGGCCTTGGTCTGGATTCTGAGTAATGTTATTATTCACTGCATTCTATTGAATAATTTATGTATGTAATTAAAATCATAATTGTGCACACGTTAATAGACCCCCGTCTCTGCTTAACAAAAATCAACACAATCCAGAGCATGACATTTCTGTTTCAGTATTTAAATTTTACAGTATAATTTTAGGTATGGATAATGAAAAATACACGAACCATAGTGTCTCAGAATGGGTTCAGAGTCCCTTCTCACATCTCCTGATTGTAAAATGTGCTTTCCAAGAGTTTATATAATATCAATTATGTTTGGTCTGTAGTGTTGCCAATTTCTTCTTTCATATTTGGAGGGAGGGGGGGGGTGCCCTACAAACTGGATGTGTTACTTGTGCTAACTCTCATTTTTCTGGTGTCACTACCTTCACCAGACTACTGTTTTAATATAGAGAGACTTGGTCTTGATTGGGGCTGCAGTGTCTGTCAGGGTTAGTTTATTCATTATTATCTAATTGATCACCTTTCCTTCTACCCCATTGCACAGTCACCCTCAAAAGAAGAGGCATATGAGTATACTGTACAGTGTTTTCCCTGTCCTGTTTGAAAGGGATTGGGGGGGAAGACTGAAAATCTCCTTAGAGCTAGTGTCTGACCAGCAGTTGTTAGCTAGGTCCTACCACTGTTTGGGTGTTATTACATGTACAGTAAATAGATAAGATAACTTTATATAATCATTTCATTGGTTTCTCTCTGTTTATCGGACCCCTTTGAAACCTGGTTTGTGTGCAAGAAGTGGTTAGCCTTAGTTGAAGTTTTGTGTTAATTTTTTCCCCCACAAAGCAAAATACCTCACTTCACAAAATTGTGATTCTTGCTGTGGGGCTAGATGGCATCCCATTCCCAAGGGGATTATGTTACACAAAGTTGGCTTATGTATATTGGGTGGCCATAAGCTGAGATCATCTTGATATGATCTGGAATTTTTTTGGACAGGTTTACTCATTAAATTCACAATTCCTTTCCATTAAAAATTTAGCATTCTTGAGTTTGATTCTTAAATCTTTCCTGAATTCCCCAAAAGGTCTGTCAGCTAGCCAAGTTATCTTGGATTGATCAACAACCATAATTTTGGTAGGAGCAAACTTTGACTTCCTCCTATTTCCTCAAAATTTGAGATGCTATGCAATCATATTTTTAGATTATAAATACAATAGAATTGATGGCTCCTGATTAATATTTCCATAAGGAGCATAGACTAATCTATGTTCCAAGAATATGCTCATTGTGTAAATGATCAGTTTACTTATAACCTTACAATTCAATACACTTGCAATTGTATTTATTGTACTGATAGTACTGTATGATCTCATTCACTTTTATCATAGATGTTTGAATTTTATCTTTGTAAAGTTTATTAAATTGGTGGTGCCTCACTGTAGATGGGTTTGGACATTTGTAAGTTTAACTTGTGCCATAGTTTTGGCTTCTCACCACCCCCCCCTTCCCCCCCATTATTTTTTTACATAATTAATGTAGTACTTTAAAACCTCTTTATATCTGAAATTCTGTAATTCAGAGAACTGTACAGACACTTGCTTTAATGATATTGTTCAGTAGAACCTCTAATGAAAGTTAGAATTGGCCACTATTCATGATTTTTGAAAGGTGGTGACACCATGCAAATGATTAGTTAGCAGCCAAGCAGACAATGTCTAGTAGCCATCACCTTGTTGGTTTTTTTGCCTTCAGCATGATTGGGCTCATGCCCAAGGCACAACATTGTGTACTAGTCATTTACTTCAAAATATTCTGTACAACCTATAAATATATTCCCATCAATGGAAAAGAAAAATCAAGTGGTGATGTTTGTTTTCCAGAGCTAGTTTTGTTCGGAAACATAAAACAAATCAGAAAAATGTGTAAATTCATCCATTTTATTAAGATATTTGCCAGGAGTTAGGTGAGTTTTTGATGATTCAGAAGTCTAGTAACATTGTTTTATTTTGATTTGATAGCACAGGAGTGGTAGGCACCAGCTGCCTGACATGAAGCTAAAGTAATATAATTATTATTATTATTTTTTGTACTTTACACTGCTGCTGTAGTTCAGTTTTATATCATTATATATGTATAATGTACAGGACAGTGTTACATTAACACTGAGGAAAGAAGAGTAGTGTGATGTGGTGAGGTAAAGGTGTTACGTTGATGGCTTCTGGCAACCACCCTCTTGTTTCCTGGGCTGGCCAGGGGAAGACTCGCCCACTATGATGCCAAGTCCTGAGTTCGATGTAAAGCTAACGATAATTTTCATTATCCTTTATACTTATATTTATGTTTTACATTAAACTATAATACAGTAGAAATTATTGGCCTACTGACATATTTTTTCATCAATATTCTTTGTGGTACTGTACAGATAATTTTTCCATCAAAATTTAAGTTCCCAATTTATACTATACACTATATATATATATATATATATATATATATATATATATATATATATATATATATATATATATATATATATATATATATATATATATATATATATATATATATATATATATATATATATATATATATATATATATATATATATATATATATATATATATCCAGGCAATATTTGTCATTTAGTGAATGATTTTGTGGAAGTTGAAAGTATGATCTAAATTGTCTTGTTATAGTACATCAAAATTACAAACTTGGAGACACCATAAATTTATGTTTACACAACAGTACTGTATTATAAATTGATAAATCAGATTTGCCATTTACTGTACAGTATTAAGTTTTGCTGCTTGATATATTTTGTATGCACTCATTGATAAACTTCTCTCGTATGTTTCAACTAATATATGCATATGAAAATTATTTTAGCTGAGAATGACTTAAGTCTTTGAAAAGGGTAAGAAAGAATGACTTAAAATCTTTGTCATAATTCATCATCTGGTCAGATGACATTGTTAGTCTTCAGTGTTTTAAAACTGACCATTTACACTGAGATATATAATGGGACCCCTTGGGGATTTCATATATTTTAGTTTCCTATAATTACAGTTTATCCACAACAGATGTAATAGCTTAGTGTTCTATTGTGGAAATATCTTATAGGTTTTCTGTTGGTGCATTTCAGTCCATTTGTTTAAGAAATTGAATAGTAAAGAGTATGGTTTATATTTGCATCTGTTAAGGTAGATTTGAGAAGAATCTCCTGAAATATGAATAACTGAACTCTGCTTAGCTGCCTTTAACTGTGAAACAAGAAATTATGTCCTTTGCCCAAGAGAGGTGTATGTTAATATAGTTAGGAATGTTTCTTTTGTTTTTCTCCTGAGCAAGTCTTGAGAAATTATTAATTGGTAAAAGAGAGGCATCTTTTGTTATTTTTTATGCATGTTTTGCACTTTTATTTTGAAGTATGTAAAGAAATAATATATGAAAAATGGAACCCGTTAGGCGAAGGTGGCCGGCCAACACAGGTACTTACGCAGAGCCATGATATGGAGGAGCTCCGACCAGATCTATTGCCAGTGTCCTCAACCACTGCTAGCACTGGGGCCTCTGAGACTAGTCCTTCAACTACCACCACCACTACTGCACCCAGTAATGGTAGTGGTGGGGGTAGAGGAGGAGTAGTGGTAGGCTCAGGTCTCAGTATCATCTCCACTGCAGTCCCTTCACAACAGTCCCAGCAACTTGTGAGACTTCCTCCGCCACCCTCTAAAGGTGCAGTGCCCCTGGGGGTGACACTTGCACTATCACTTCACTGGCAGCTATCTTGCCACAGTCACTCAGACACTGGTTATGTCACTGAGGCTGTCACTAAGGTTTTTTATTGGGCTTCGATTTTTATTTTACAGATGTGATTACAGTATATACCTGCTGATAGAATTTTCTATATTTGGTTTGAGAATTTAAAAGTCATTCTATTTTTCCTGAAACTTTCAAAATAGTCAGATCTTTTTATGCCACTAATTAAGTAAAGATTACTTCAGAGATATTTTAAGTCTTAAGGACTACTGTATGTAACGACTATTTTCTTCAACATTTAATAATCAGTGAAGTTCATTATTTTATTTTCAACTCTTGTTAAATGTAATACTGTATCATCAATTACAGTGACCGTTAGCCAGAACAATTTGTGCAGAGCACTTCTAGGAATGAGAGATTTCTGGGTAATGAGATGACTCTCTCGAACCCGTAAAAAAATCCCTCATCCCCGGAATTTTCCGTGTAACGGAAAAATGTTCTCGGAAGTTCCAGAAATTGCCCATTAAATCATCTCTCAAAACCGGAAAAATATCCCTCATCCCTGGAATTTTCCGGGTAACGGAGAAAATGTGCCTGATTTTCATCTCTCAAACCCAGAAAAAATTCCCCCATCCCCGTAATATTCCGTGATTTTCCGGGTACTGGGAAAATTTGTTCGGAATTTTCTGGAAAATGTACCCCTTCGGAAAATTTCAATTTCGGCTCTCGGAGAGTTCCGTGTTTGAGGGATTCTGGCTAACGGAGCTATTACTGTATAAACTTTTTTGTGCCTTAGTGACAGACCTCATACATTGGTACTAAAGCATAATGATGAGTGAACATGCTAAGTAAAGGACAAACTTTTTTCCTGTGAGGTATGATTTTTTTTATTTTAATGCATAATTAGAATAAAGAAAAAAGACAATACCTCACTGAAAGTATTAAATGATGTTCTTTAAGACCTGTTCATTCTTCTTAAGGTTAATGTGCTGGTTGATGGGTTGCTCTTATCTGGGTCTCTTCATTTTTCCTTGTAGCCTCTTCTGGGTTGTGGACTCTTTCTATTCTCTCATTTGTCACTGGCTTAAAGATATATATCAGTGTGTCAAAGTAAAAATGTAACTCTTTATAAGTAAAGTGATGCAAATTAGCTCTTTTTTTGTGTATGATGGTATTTTTAGGTCAGTGGAGCTATTAGTTGAATACAGTAGTAAAATATGTGCGTTGAGGATGTCTTTGACGTTTATTGTGAGTACTGTATTGTATAATAATATTTTCCTCCTCAGACAATTTCTGACCTTTTGATTTGTCTTTATACTAATAAATAATAATATTTTGAAAATACCGTGATGTCTGTAGTCTATACGTGCAATAAGAATTGAGGCTTATTTCTTTCTTGGAAAGTTCTCCACTTGTTCTGTTTAGGGTTTAAAGTCTTCATCACCATCATCTTATTTTTTATGTACAGTATTTGTGTTTCATATTATTTTTATGTACAGTATATAATATTCATTACAGTGGGCCACACGTACCTGTATGCAAGCACCAGTGCTAGTGATTGTTTTGCTAGCCTTTCACAAGAAACAGTAGAAAACGACTTCTCGGTTACATATCATGTGATGGTTCTCGGGATGCTTAGCAAGACTACTGCCAATAACTGCATGAACACTGACTGACAATATTCTTATTGTGTTGTTTACAGGATTTAGCTACTCCAACATAGAAGAGTGCTCATTATAAATCATCTACAGTATATCAGCTCATGCCATCTCCCACCAATCTGCTGTAGCATTTTCTAACGAGAAATAACAAGATTAAAACTTGGCATGGATTGCAGTAATCAATTTATTCAAAGTAGAGGAAATGATTCCATGCTTGCCTTCCCTGGCTATGGGATTGAGCTCAATAACTTGGTGATGCAGAGGCAGCACAAAGAATTATGATAAAATCCTTGCTACAGCATTATGAAAATTTTTATTACGTAATACAAAATTCGTTGAAAAGTACTAGTTGTCCATAAGATAACATTGGGTATAACACAGTACTACCTAAGATGGGGGGGAGATAGCATTAACATACAGTAATACCCCGATTTACGCGGTCAATTGAACCCGCGGAGTAGCACGTAAAACGAGAAACGCGTAAATGGAATAACAGAACATATGGGATTAATTGAAATAGAGACTGGGCCGACTCCCAAACTCCACATTTTCAGACACAATACCTACGTTGTAGTAAAAATAACATCTTAATTTTATGATGGTATGCACACACAATTAATAATTAAGAGAAATATCAATAATATTAGGTTTTTTAACACTTACATTAGTAGAAAAGATGGCTGGGCACACGGGGATGGGGGGTTGGTTCTGAGGCAGAGGGCAGATTATTGGCCCTCACCTGTATCACTTGTATCAATTGTATCACTATCCACCACAGAGGCTTGCAGGGCCTCTTTGTCAAAGTCCGTATAAGTCCATATCCTCAATATCACTACTGTATCACTGACTGGGGCTGGCTTTGGTGGGTGGCGGGTGAAGAACTCAGTAATGTTTTGATGACTGGGCGACCTTGTGCGCACCCTGCCCGCGCCGCTTCCCGCGGAGTAAATTAACCACGGAAATCGGGCATCCCGGTTCTGGCAAGGTACCGCGTAAATGACCAAACACGTAAACGAGAACCGCATAAATCGAGGTTCAACTGTATATGGAGTTTGCTTTTAATATTCAGTCCTTTTATAGATTACTTTTCATAACATCACAGTTTGGAAGTAGTACTGTACTATGCAGAAAGTATCCAAATACACTACAGTAAAAACCTCGATTAACTGCCCACACATGGGGGGAAGGGGCCGACGGATAATCCAAAAGGTCGGTTAATAGTAAATAAAGTCTACGAAAATAAAACATACCTTTTTAAAGTACCTATAGCTAACCTACCTCATTTAAGTCCCTCTATTCATTTTTGTTCATTTGCTATTCATATTCCAATAGCATTTGCTTTAAAACATTAACCACTTTAGTAAATAAATATGAACCTGCACAGAAACCGTGAATAAAAAAAGGAAGTCAAAGAACATATGGCATCACGAAAATTGTGACCAAGTCCCAGGTTGCTGATCTGACTTCTGCCTCATTTACACACAGTTGCAGGGTCTCAATTGTTTCTCTTACTATTGACAACACAACATAAATATAATGTTTCTCACTCTTGATCTTTTTTTCATTTTTGCATTTCTTTATGATTCTTTATTATTATTATTATTATTATTATTATTATTACATTTTCGCCTCCCCAGGCCCCGATGTGGGTCAGTGACCTGTGGTAATCCCCGTTAAAAAAAAAATAATAATAATAATAGGTGTCCGGGATAGGCGGTTAATCCGAAAGTCGATTAATCGAGGTTTTACTGTATGTGTTTATCCACTTGATTCTCATAAGTAATAGTAAATTAAGCAGTAGTAATATAAGGGAAACCAGGATAACCTGGTTAAGTTCATCATATCTATGGTTACAAGTACAGTACTGTATTTGATTATTTGAATAGTTCTGTTCATAAGATTAATCTGTGATTTTGTTCCGGCAATATTATCTTTCTTTCTTTTTTTCACTTTGTTTAGTCTCTTACTTCATATAGAGATACTATATATATATATATATATATATATATATATATATATATATATATGGTTTATGAAAATTTAAGGATTCGGAAAGCCTCCCACAAGTAAGGATGTTATACCAAACCACTGAGCGTACTGTATAAGGAAGTGGTAGGATCCAACTTCCTCTGCCAAAGCTTGAGGTTCTACTTTTGCAATATTATCAATGGATTTCTGTCTCACCTCCATCAATGCTTCCCATATTTTAACAACCTGAAATCTGACAACTTCTGTGCTTTCCCGTCTCATTTCACTCCATGACTTCAAAGTCACATTAAGCTATTTGTTCAAAATAGTCCATCACTGTGTTGCTGCTGAGAAACAAGTAAAGTGCTTCTGAACATACCAAAATAATCAATGGCATCAGCTGAAGATTTTTCAGCAGCATCAACCATCAGATTTACCATAATGTGTGTATGCTCCACAAGGCTTTTCATACATAATCATATATTTTATTACACAAGTTTTATGACCAAAATTTTTGGGGGGGAAAAGTAGGGAGTTCACTTTAATGTAAATACATTGTACTACTGTCTTAAAACATGAAAGACAATAAGTATCGTAGCCTACAAGTCTTCTGTTTTGGTACAGTACGTATTTGTTAGTTTCTTGCTCCTGCAGTGATAATAATACTTAACCTGTATCTTGTGTGCCTGATACAGTATATATGTTTACCTTAGTTACTGCAGCTAACAATTATTACAGACAAGACAACTACCCTTCCCTGGCAGCTATATTTTCTCCCTAACCTAAAACATAAACATTTCATCATCAATACAACAAACAATTGAACAGCATGAATTGGTCTCTCAGAACCTACCATAAGCAATGAAATATCATAATCCACAAAAATAATTTTAAGGTTCAGTAATACACTTGAGTATCAGAAATAAAAAATGCATGGGACTGAGAGGGATTCAGAATGTAGATATTTTCGGAAATTAGAAGAATCTTTTCCAAGAACCCATGTCCTTTATTTTCAGTCAAATTCCTCAATATTAATTCAATAAAATATGGCCTGTGATCACTCACTGGAATAGGATGCATACATGAATGCCACTGCAAATGGCAATAGATATATATTAAGATGGAAAAATACATACAGTAATGTACTGCATTTAACAATTATTAGCCCAAATATTGCATAAATTTTCTATTTAATGTGATACAGCATTGAAAGTTGTATACAGTAGAAGTAAAAAAATACGGACTGCTTGGGGATTGGGTCGGTCCGGATTTTCGGATTTTCCAGATTCTCAGGCAGTACTTTTAAAATTCAGATTTCAGGAGAAATAAAGAAGAGATGAACAGGTACATTTTGATAGTTTATTCATTAGCAAATATAGCATGCTTCATTTATCAAAACAAGCAGTTTTAAAGATAAAGCTGTGAATTCTAAAATTTTATTCTTTGCTTTTTTTATATCATAAATTGTAGACTTTCCAATGTCGTTTGTTGTCGCTGTGCAGCTGTGGCGCTCACGCATGCACACATACAGTACACACAAAAGCCAGCTAAAAAAAAATCGAGTTTGAGTTTTCGAAAAGTCCGGTTTCTCGGGTGGTCCGGATTTTTGGACTTTTACTGTATATGATATTACTAAATTTGTATTGTCTGCTTAGATAGGCAATAGGACTGCCTGTTGCACAATATTTTCAACTCATATGTTGTCACTGGTTTCATTATTGCATTAATGTCATCTTCACTAAGCTCACTTTTGGTATTTACGGTAGGTGCACTCGCCTGTGTGTGTTCATGCGTACATGCTCGACAAATTGTCGGAACAGCATTGCTCTCTCTCTTCTCTTTCCATGAACCACAAGATTTGTTGAGTTGCCAATCTGAAGCAGTCACTAAGTTTACCCATAGTTGCCAATTGAAGGGGAGCTTGGCAAGTGAGGGGATGGCGGTACAGTGGGGTAACGTTGGTAACCCCAGCAATGTTACAGTTGTCAGCTATTTCATTAAGATGCTAAAGATATGTTATAAATTGTTAATACAGTGGGGTATGCTATAACGAATCTAATTGGCTCCAGAACCTCGTTCGTTATAGCATTCGTTCGTTATAGGGTTAATCCGTTCCAGGCCCCCAAATACAACCACTTAACACTGAAAAAATTCTGTGGAAAATGTAAAAAATACGGTACTTTATCTTAACTTAGTGTTGTTCAGCATGCAGGACAGGAGGCAGAAGGGGAGGGGGGAGGAGAGAATTATGGAGAAGAGGTGGAAGGAGAGGAGTCATTCTTCCTAGCCCTCTTTGGTGACTGTCTCACAGACACTTTGTCTGTAGGTTCTTTTGTTACCTTTGTAAAGAAGGAATCCAGGGTTGGCTGCTTCAACCTTGATTTCTGGACCTTCCAAAAGTAGTTTATAACATTGTCATTAAACACACTGATGGCCTTTTGCACAGAACCAACATCAGGATGATAATCCTCAGCATGTTTGGACGGTTTGCTCCAGCAAAAGAACGCATCCTTGAGATCTTTGGCTGGAATGATGCGGCTTTCCTCCTTGTCCTCCTCCTCCCCTGACTCCTCAGAAGTTAAGCTCTGCTTCAGTGTCTCGTTTTGTTCTTTGTGAAGCTCAAGCAGCTCCTCAGTGGACAGTTCCTTACTGTGCTCTTCCACCAACTCCTCAACATCATCACCATCCACTTCTAGGCCCATGGAATTGCCCAGACACAATTTCATGAATAACAGCCTCTTCTTCTAACTCTTCGAAGCCTTCAAAGTCTCTTTGAAGGACACATTCAGGCCACAATGGCCTCCAAGCAGCACAAAGACACCTCACAGTAACCTCTTTCCAGGCTGAGGTAATTAAAAAAACAGCGTCTGCTATATTGAAGTGACTCTTCCAAAATTCCTCCAAGCTAACATCACTGGAAGAAGTGGACGCAAAACATTTTCTAAACAGTGCCTTTGTGTACAGCTTCTTAAAGTTAGAAATTACCTGTTGATCCATGGGCTGGATGAGAGGTGTTGTGTTGGGTGGCAAGAAGTGCACAGTGATGAAGTTGAACTCCTGGCAATTCAACCATCAAATTAGGAGGGTGGGCTGGTGCATTGTCCATCACCAACAAAGCTTTCAGTGGAAGATTATTCTCCCTGAGGTATTCCCGAACACTGGGTCCAAACACCTCAATCACCCACTCAGAGAATAAATTCCTGGTCACCCAAGCCTTAAATATTAAAATGATTTGCAGAATCTACGCTTCAGTAACAGTAATGCACCGGTACCTATTCCCACAGTAATGTTTTCGTAAAAGTTGATAATGTGTTCTGAGACGGAGTGGGGAGGGTATCAGACGCCTCCATAGCCAAGCACTTGCTTTTAATTGTTGTTGTAGAGGTGCATTTTCTTCCAGATATGGCATTATTAAACTTAACATATTACTGTATATTCATGAATATTACTGATGAACATCAACTTCACATTAAAACTAAAAACATCCTCTCGGAAATACTCTGAACATGTTATGGAGCATTAAAAACTGCAGACAGTCTGGGGGCATGGCAAACCTAAGGCCCAGCCATAGTCTTGGCCTGTTTATTTTAATTTGCATTGCCAGGTTGAGAGTATGAACAGCGGTGTTAATAAGCATTTTATTTATATTTGTAATATGCTAATTATACTATGGACTAACAGAATGTCAAGAATGTGTGTGGGTTGGGGTGGGCTATATTGGTGTTTATGTGGAGAGGAGTGTAGTAGGTGAGAGCGGGAGGGGAAGTGTTGCTAAGGGTAGGCACAGGTAGTATCCCCAGCTGGGCTGGATTGCACTGGCGAGGCTTGAGGGTGGCCACATGTGAATCAGCCAGCTTCTGCAAATGGCAAAACTCTCATTTAGGTATTCCCAAATGGTTTTAGCTGCATATTTTCTTCTCGATGGTACAGGTATTTTACTAATGTTTTTAATGTGTTAGGTAGCAAATTACAGTAAGGTACTATATCATTAGTTAGGTAGGTTTTTTGTTTGTGAACTGATTTCATGTTTTTTTTGGGTGGTATGATATTGGGGTTTTCTTGTCATTGGGGAACTGAACCCATTTTTTTCCACATGTTATTCACTATACTGTACAGTATATACTGTATATATATATATATATATATATATATATATATATATATATATATATATATATATATATATATATATATATATACATGAAAACGTGGATAAGATAAATCTTGATAAAATCACGGGAAAAGGAAACAAACCTTACCTTTAAGTCTTTATTCAAGACATCTTCAGAGGCAACCTCAAGATGCAAAATATATATATATATATATATATATATATATATATATATATATATATATATATATATATATATATATATATATATATATATATATATATATATATATATATATATATATATATATATATATGTAAGTAGTATATATATAATTTTTTTTTTTTAATTTCCGTAAACATGGTCACTCTGGTGGTGGAGGGGAGAAATAATATGCCGACTGATGGGTTAAGGAGAAATGAGTTACATCTAAGGCAGCGTGTCCTTATGTATTACTGTACATTATAGTACTGGTAAATCCTCATCCTAAATTATCCAGGTGTAGCCATGTTCACTCGGGAAATGTGTCGTGTTTTTCAGTGGGTGTGTGTCTTGTACTTAATCATTTTTATTTCATCCTAAACTCAACAAACAATTTGTTATTACTCTCCTAGAAACTAAATTATTGATGTTAAGAATTATCATCTGCCAGAGCATGATGTGTTACTGTATATCAGATCTGCTGAAAACTAATATTCCCTGTCACACAGTCCAGTACTTCATATATTAATTGAATACGTACATTTTAACAGTTGAATATACTGTACTGTACTGTGGGCTGTGAATTATCATGTCATTGAAATAATTTTAATTTTAATAATCAGAAATCAGGTTGAACAAAAGTGCAAAACATGAAAAATTTACAAATTACGGTAGTACTGTACTGTACTTCATATATTATAAAAACAGTACAAATACTGTACCTGTATATGTCCATAGACATAAATGTGTTTCTGTATTACTGTTTATGTAACAATGAAATAACATTATTCTTCCATTTACATTTGCATGATGTCTAATGAATGTACAATATTTGTGAGTACGGGTAATTAATATTTGTATTACGTATTCAAAAAAAATTATATATACTGTATAGTATACCTGTACATCTTATTCCTGACATATGAGTCTGGATGCATACTTATCATGTGTGGCCCTGTGTGATGAATTGTACTTGTTTTTTTGTTTTTTTCTTTTTCAATTTTGGCCTGTTTGTCTAGTATTGCATGCTTTGTTGGGCTTGTAGTTTATCTCAGTGCTTGCTTGTGCATTTGGCAAAGTATATCTGTTATTATTGTATGAAATGCATTTACCAATATTCCCTTGTTTATGTTATTGCAATTCAATTATCATTTTCAAAATTAAGAGGCATGAATTTTTTAGTAAATCAATCAGCATGGCTTGATAAGTAACATTTGATTTGTTTATTCCATTTTTCTTGTAATCAATTCCATGCCTTTTTAATATTTTCCTCATTTTGATATCTGCCTCTACATCATGCAGCAGCACTTGAAATTATTAAAAAAATTTATCCCCTACATTACTTGTTACATTAGAGAATATTCCCTGATTTCTTAATTTAATTTGTCACAGGAGGAACTACTAGAGATTCAGGCCACACTGCAGTGAGCACATATGATGCCGATGAAGCTCCACGGTCTAATGGAAGCAACGGAATGAATGGAATTGGGGGAATTGGAAATGGAAATGGAGGATTAGGTGGAAGAGGAACCCAAAATGGTGGACGGAATGGCAATGGACGGGCAGCATATAATGAGAAGACCATGTTGTTGAGTTCTGACGATGAATTTCAGTGAGAAAAAGGCTGAAGTGCAGCAGTGAGGTGAGACTACAATATTGTATATTATTATGTTTAGTGCAAGGGCAGGATTTCAAGGTAAAGTTGAAAGATTTAGAACTGCAGATAGAATACTCTAGTTTCAGTTTTTTATTGATTGTGATGTTTTTATTTTATTTATTATTATTTTTTCCCGATATTGACCATCAGTTCTGAGGTGTGGAAAATCTGCTTGTATTTTCTTTTATAGTGTGTATTGTTTCCCATATAACAGGAGTTTTCTTTCAGTCTCCAGATGCTGTATTTTGTCCTTCAGTAAATCTAAAGCTCTGTAATAGTGCTTGGGAAGAGATAGAAATGGATTTAGAATAGGCAAGCACAGATACTTGTTTCTTATTTCAGTTTCGTATACTATACAGTTAGTTGTTATTGGGGTAGTTGGTATAAAACTTCAGTCACATCAAATGGTGGCAGTACAGTACAGTATTGATTTCTTGTTCTGTAATTCTTACTAAAAAAAAATAAATAATATTTCGTACTGTACTTGAAAAGGTAATTGTAACATACCAGTGTGATAATATATCGTACAGATATACCCCCAATAACCGATGCATATAGGGACTGTGAAAAGTCGTTGGTTAGTGAATCGGCGGTTATTGAAGCAATTAATCCCATAAGAATATAACAAATTTGGGTGGTTAGGGACTGGCCGGCCACCCCCTAAAAACTCACCATCTACCCTTGATATATCTCTGTCATGCTCACTGTCAAGCAAGAAAATAAAGCAGATATATAAAGCAAGCATAATAAGCATTAAATAAGGAATGTAAAGCATAAATTGAGACTTATTTACCTGTGTTGAGGATGGTAGAGACGGTGTAAGGTGGCAAGTTCAAGTCTCTACCAATCTTTGCTGGTCCATCACCAATCTTATTATGTCTTGTTTTGCCTTGTCACAGTACATCAGGGACAGCACAAGAGGAAATATCACTGGGGCACTTAGGCAAAATTGCATGACACTCAAAGTCAGAAATGATGAAAAAACATGAAGTCTGAGACACGTGGTAAATGTAAACAAGTGTAGAGAGGCGGGAATGAGTCAGAGGCAGCGTGCAGAGCTCTCTTGTGGCAATAATTTGCACCATGCCACCGCCTGCCAAATTCAAAACAGCTCTGCCATTCCTCCCCCAATCATCGGATCAACGGGGTATTTGCAAAACTTGTGGGGTATTTCCCCAATATGTAATCATCGTTTATGCAAAGAGGATGTTAATTAGACTTGAGTTTTTGGAGCATACCTGTATTGCTTTTTTGTTTATAATGATGGTGCACATTTGTACCTTGATGTGGTGCATATAACAAAATTCGTTCTGAACTTGTGTAAAAAATTACAAGTACATGTAACCTTGCTACGAGGTGTTTGCATAATTCAAAATGAAATGAGTTCATACATATAAAATATGTAGAAACACAGGATATAAAGGTAGAATGGAAAGGTTGGGGGGAAGCATAAAATAAGCTAAGGTACAAAAAAAGATTGGAGAAATTTGATGACATGCTAAGCAAAGAAAAGGAATATTTCAATGACACTAACAACAAATGGGAGGAATTTACATTTAGAAGGAAATTGCTAGTGAGAGGGATGTGCATGGTGGAACACAAAAAAGCGGTGTGTGAAATTAGGTTTTTTTAAACAAATGATGTAGAGTAAAATTTTCTTTCTTAAGAAAAATACAATTTGCTTAATTACTTAAGTACTTTAAACATAGAATATGTAAAATTGCCAAAATATCATAATACATTTCTGTACCTATGTCCTTCATTGGAATCAAGTGTATTTTTTTTTTCCTTACAGGGATTAGCCCACCCAGGCACAGGTCACTGACCCACATCGGGGCCTTGGGGGTGAAAATGTAATAATAATAATAATAATAAAGAACCATAAAGAAATACAAAAAGAAAAAAAGATCAAGAGTGAGAAACAATATTCTGTATGAATGTTGTGTTGTCAATAGTAAGAGAAACAATTGAGACCTGCAATTGTGTGTAAATGAGGCAGAAAATTGGATCAGCAATTTGGGACTTGGTCACAATTTTCATGATGCCATATGGCAGCAGGGTCCACCATTAGAAAATACATTAGCTTGAAAACAAGAAATTATTGTACAGAGTATACTGTACAGTGAACCCTCACTTTACGCGGTCAATTGAACCCACGGCAGCCCGCGTAAAGTGAGAAACGCGTAAAGTGAACAACATAACATATGGGATTAATTGAAATAGAGACCGGGCCAACCCCCAAGCTCCACTTTTTCAGACACAATACCTACGTTGTAGTAAAAATAACTTCTTAATTTTATGATGGTACACGCACACAATTAATATTTAAGAGAAATAGAGAAATACAGTCACCAAGTTAATGTCCATTCAAATACAGTGACCCCTCGGTTAACGAACTCAATCCGTTCCAGAAGGTCGTTCGTTAACCGAAAAGTTCGTTAACCGAAACCATTGTTTCAATGGGTTTTTGGGTAATTGGTTCCAGCTCACCGAAAATTTCCTAAATTCAACAAAAATGGTAGAAAAGTTCACTTACTTTGAGGTGTGTATGTAGAAGGCTCCTGGATGATGATGATGATGATGGGAATTACAATGGGGGTGGAGGAGAAGGAAGAAGAGAAGGCATTGGGGTGGAAGAGAAGTCACCCCATGGCACCATTTCACCCATAAAATTTTAGTTCTCTTGGTGTATTTCAAGATTATTTTCTTTAAATCAACACTGTACTGCATTATATATTGTCAATATGTAAAATATATTTCAAAATGACCAATAATTTGCTTGGAAACACAGAAAAAAGCGTTTAGTTGAAGAGAGTCTCAAGCAAGATGTTACCTCCAGTGAAAACAGAGAGACTAACGCCTGTTTGCTGTGTTAAGAGGCTGGATGCTGCGCTTTAAACTAGTCACTTTACCTTCAATTATGTTCAATAATTGTTAAAATGACTAAAAAATTGAATATTAAACTTTTAAAATTATTGAATAGTATAAACTTCTTGATATTTACTAAAATAGTTAGGAATTTAAGCCCTAGAACCGATTAATGTATTGGCGGACTGATACTTAAGCTGGTTGCCCGGCCAGTGCAAGCGAAAACATGTTGAGGTCGGTTCGTAAGAAATTCGTTAACCGAATTTTTGTTCGTTAACCGAATTGAAGATCCTTATGGAAGGCAGTTCGTTAACCGAAATTTCGTTAACCGAGGCGTTCGTTAAACGAGGGGTCACTGTAATGGACTTAACTCCCTCCCCCTCTTCTCACACACGCTGGCTCTTCCCTCTCTGAGAAATGATTGGGGGAAAACACTAGATTTTAAGGTATAGTAATAAATAATACCTCAAACTAAAGTTAGGATAATATAATTGACATTGCTGGATTCCTTGTAAGACCAGGAATATTTTGAATATAAATGTCTTATATTTTGCTCAAAAGATAACATATTTACTCAGAGTAAACAAAATACTTACATTAGATCTAAAATTTGTATGTCTAATGCAAAATCTATGATGTTTATATTCAAAATGATCGTCAAATTGTAAGAATTCCAGCAATGTAAATTATATTCTGGCCGGGTAATTTGTATGAATTTTATGAGCTAAAACAAATATCTTCAATAAATAAACAAAATATACTTACCCAAATACTATCTATCGATCAAAATACCCCCCCTCCCCCCCTCTTCCCACCTGCTCCCTGGGTCCCTCCCTCCCTCCCTACCCCTCACACCCACCTTCCCTCCCTACCAGAGAAATGATTGGGTTATAACAGTATATTTACATTTTTAGTAATAAATAATACCTCAGACTAAAGTTAGGATAATATAATTGACATTGCTGGATTCCTTGCAAGACCAGGAATATTTTGAATATACACGTCATATATTTTGCACAAAAGATAACATATTTGCTCAGAGTAAACAAAATACTTGCATTAGATCTAAAATTTGTATGTCTAATGCAAAATCTATGATGCTTATATTCAAAATGATCATCAAATTGTAAGAATTCCAGCAATGTAAATTATATTCTGGCCGGGTAATTTGTATGAATTTTATGAGCTAAAATAAAAATCTTCAGTTAATAAAAAAAAAAATATTCTTCACACGGTAACAGATGGTCGGTCGCCGGTCCCTCCCTCCCTTCCCCCCACCCCCCACCAACGTCCCTACTAGATAAATGTGTGGGAATACCAGACTGTTTACCTTTTTAGTAATAAATAATAAATCAGACTAAAGTTAGGATAATATAATTGACATTGCTGGATTCCTTGTAAGACCAGGAATATTTTGAATATAAATATCATATATTTTGCACAAAAGATAACATATTTACTCAAGAGTAAACATTATATCTAAAATTTGTATGTCTAATGCAAAATCTATGATGTTTATATTCAAAATGATCATCAAATTGTAAGAATTCCAGCAATGTAAATTATATTCTGGCCGGATAATTTGTATGAATTTTATGAGCTAAATTAAAAAAAATTATACTTCACCGTGTAAAGGGGTACACCCACCGCGGAATGTGAGCATCCTGGGTTCTGGCAGGGCACCGCGTAAACGTGGAAACGCGGAATGTGGGACCGCGTAAAGTGAGAGTTGACTATACAGGTAGTTCTGCTATAACGCGATAGTAGTGTTCTTGTAAAACATCGTGTTATAGAAATTCGTGTAATAGAAATAACAGGGCTTATGGAGAAAATAGGGTTAGGTGCAGATTACTCCAAATCGAAAAAAAATTTCGTAGTTAGCCTAACACAAAGGATAGCACAGTCTAAATAAATGTTACATTCATATCTAATAATGAAATCATACAGTAAATGTTACACTTTACCTTGAAAAAATATGAATATAACTTGATGGGGGATAAGGGTGATGTTGAGGCTGAGGAGTCATGAAACATCAAGCTTTTCTTCAAGTGTTATAGCCTTTCTTTTACAATCACCACCGGAAATGCGATCACCAGAGTGCTTCCCAGAGATATTCT